GTGTTGTTTCAATCGAGTGATCCCATGCTGATCACAGCCTGTGATGACAATATCATTCACATATACCACCAGATAAATAGATCCAGAAGCAGAATGACGATAAAAGAGAGAATGATCAGCTGCACTCCGAGTCATGCCAAATTGTTGAGCAACACTGCTAAATTTACCAAACCAAGCTCTTGGAGATTGTTTGAGGCCATAGAGAGACTTACGAAGACGACAAACAAGACCTGACTCCCCCTGAGCAAAAAATCCAGGAGGTTGCTCCATATAAATTTCTTCCTCAAGATCACCATGAAGAAAAACATTCTTGATATCCAGTTGGTAGAGAGGCCAATGGCTAATAGCAGCCATGGCAATAAAAAGGCGAACAGTAGACATTTTCGCCACAGGAGAAAAAGTATCAATAAAATCCAAGCCAAAGACCTGAGTGAAACCCTTCGCCACCAAGCGAGCTTTAAGACGATCCACTTGACCATCAGGTCCAACCTTAACAGCATAAATCCATCTGCAACCAACCACAGATTTTCCAGAAGGAAGAGGCACCAGGTCCCATGTGCCATTATGATGAAGAGCACTCATTTCATCAATCATAGCTTGTCTCCATCTCGAATGTGAAAGTGCATCACCTGTGGTCTTAGGAACAGATACAGAGGACAAAGAGGAAAGGCAAGCAAAATATGATGGAGAAAGACGATGATAACTAATATTGACTGTATACCTGGCCGGAGGAAGAGTATCACGAGTACCCTTACGAAGAGCAATAGGAAGGTCACTATCCGAAGGTGGGACCGAAGCCGTGGGAGGAGATGCGGTTGAATGTGAGTCCACAGATACATCTGACGAACTATGCTCGATGTCATCAGCAGAAGAAGGAGAGTCAGAAACATGGATGGGTAAAGACGGAAGGTAAAGAAGGTCACTTGGGAAGGACGACTGTACAGAATCAGTATCCACAGGAGTAGTAGAGGTTCCAAAAAAGGGAACTGATTCAAAAAAGGAGACATCCGCCGAGATAAAGTATCGACGTAAAGTGGGAGAGTAGCAACGGTAACCCTTCTGAGACCGAGGATAACCCAGAAAAACACATTTATGAGACTTGGGAGCTAATTTATCCAAACCTGGACCAAGATGATGAACAAAACACGTAGAACCAAACACATGTTGAGTTAAAGGATATAAATTTTGATGGGGAAATAAAATAGAGTGAGGTACCTTATGATTGAGAACAGATGATGGCATGCGATTAATGAGATAGCATGCAGTAAGTATAGAATCACCCCAAAATGTGTATGGAACATTACCATCAATTAACAAGGCACGAGTGGTTTCAACCAGATGGCGATTCTTGCGCTCGGCTACACCATTTTGTTGAGGTGTATGAGGGCAAGATGTTTGATGAAGAATGCCATGAGATGAAAAGAATTGTTGAAATTGATGAGATAAGTACTCACATGCATTATCACTACGAAAAGTATGAATAGGAATACCAAATTGAGTTTTAATTTCATTATAAAATAACTGAAAAATAGAAAACAACTCAGACCGTTTTTTCATTAAAAATAACCAAGTATATCTGGAATAATCATCAATAAAAGTAACAAAGTACTTAAAACCCAAAGTAGAAGAATGACGACTTGGTCCCCAAACATCAGAGTGGACCACAGAAAAAGGAGAAACAGCTTGACGACTAAGACGACTCGGAAACGTACTACGAGTATGTTTCCCAAACTGACAAGAGTCACAATTTAAAGTAGAAAGAGACGATAAATGGGGAAGCATCTTTTGAAGCTTTGCAAGACTAGGATGGCCCAGACGAGCATGGATAGTAAGAGGAGAATCCACAGTGGAGCAGGCTGAAGAATAGGGAACTAGTTGATACAGGCCCTGAGACTCACATCCTTTGGTAATCTCCTTCCCCGTACTCCGATCCTGAAAGATGACAGAGGTTTTAGTAAAAGAAACAACACAGTCAATGGATTTGGTCAACCGACTAATAGAAAGTAAGTTAAAAGGAGAATCAGGAACATATAGAACATGATCCAGAGATAAATTAGGTAAAAGAAGAACCGTGTCAATCCCCCTTGATTGGACCAGAGACCCATTGGCCATAGTAATAGTGGGAAAAGAACCAGTAGTACAAAGGGAAGTGAATAAGGACTTATTACTAGAAATGTGATCAGAAGCCCCAGAATCTAGAGTCCAAGGGCCAATAGAGTGCAACTGAGATATGCCAGCAAAAGAATTACCAGAATTACCAGTGGGAGCAATGGATGCAGTAGGACCTGATGTTTGCTTCTCAGACCACCAAGTCACAAAAGCTTTTGCCTGACTCCAAATAGCTTCACAGGTAACAGCAGGTCAAAAAATCTGCTTGATAGACGGATGAAGAGTAGCTTTAATGAGACTACACAACTGAGCATCAATCATCTTCCATCGTGTGCGCTCATTTTCCGCCACAGATTCAGCCTTAGTGGTGAGATGGGATGTATAATTCTTCCCATCCAACCAGAGTCGCAGATCGGAAGACCAAGTATCATAATTGGACCCATCCAATTTATCCACACTCAACGGAGCAAGGATATAATTTGAGAAAATAGTAGACTCCGACTTTTGTCCCGCCGGAGTCCCAGAAACAGAAACATTGGAGACAGGAGTGTCCATAATCAAAGGAAAAAAGCAGAAATAACAGGTCAAAAACTAACCGGTAGAAGAGGGATCTGCGCGTCAACACAAAAAGAGGTCCAAACACCAAAACAATAACAGATCCAGAACCTACGCAAGGAGACGAGAAGATCGCAACCAGCCGCGGCCGGAGAGGGGCCTCCACGCGTCGCCACGCGCCGTCGGAGTGAAGGAGAATGGTCGAGCTGTCACGCGCGCGTGAGGGCGCGTGTGACCTTGAAATTGGACGAGACCGGTGGCGTTGGAACCGCGCGGCGGAGAAGATCACGGCGGTATGTGGATCGCCGGAAAAGGTGACCGGATGATGGTTCTGGACGAGACAGAAGCTGTATGCGGAGAGAGAAGCGTCCGGAAAAAAAATTAACCGACGATGAACAGTGGGTTCCCCGGAAAAAAAATAAAATTCAAAGTTCCTTAGGCTCTTGATACCATGTTAAATAACAAGAGAAAAGAGAGGAACATTTGAAATATTTCTGTGTGTATTGACTGATGAAGGTTGTACAATATATAAACAGACTAATGGGCTAAGCCCAAACCTAATGTAATCTGACCTAATACAAAATAAGGAAACCCTAATTATAAAATAAGGAAACCCTAATTGCAATATATTTCTAACAAAAACATTAGAAGACTAAAAGATATTCTCCTTCTTCATTGTTGTAAAGAGCTCATAGAAACTCAAATCCACCTTCTCCTTGATTGTTCCACTTCAGTTTATTTTCATACATTCCTCCTGAAGAAACTCTTGAAGCTTAGCACTGTGAGTGAATTGAAACCACGTTGGACTCATTTATATGCATGTTGTATTTTATGTTTTTATCGGTTCCCTTGTATAGTTTCCTTCATGTGTGTGGTTTTTTTATCTGTTTCTTCCATTATAATCCTCATCAAATGGATTATAAAAAAAAATAATTCTGCAAAAAGATTCATACACACCAGGTGGCTTAAGATTTTAGCAAATTAGCAATTGTATATTAAGTTGTGAACGACAAAAAAAAGAAGGGTTTTGGTGAAGAGTTGACCTAATTTCTATCGGTAAGATAAAAGAGACCACGAAAGAGTTGGGTGGGGGGAAATAGAATGAAGTTAAATTGAACTAACTCCTTATGAAGGTAAGATATGCACTTATGATGATGAACATGTCACTGTTTGAAATGAATGAGAACGTTGAGGACAAAAAAAACCCATTACAAGGATTAGGATTACACCTATGTGAGTGTGATACGACCCCTTGGTTTTTGGTGAGTCATTAGTTAATTAGTTGGTTAGACCAGTTAGTACTTAGTAGCATGGATGACATCTATAAAACACAAGGTAAACGTGAAGGGGAAGCATCTTGAATCTTGGGCATTTGGATTGGGACTTGGGAGAGAATCAGAGCCTCTCTATACATTAGCTTGTATTTTCCTTAGTTTGCCAATATGTAATCACTTGAATCTGTATAGTTCATTTCCTTTGTAATTTCCATTGCATTGTTTAGACCCAAATATCAATATAAATTACAGATTTCACATCTCAATCAATCCTTATTTTTGTTCTATAATCATTTGTTATTGATCTTGGACCTTATAAGAATGTGTTACCATTTTGGGTTTAGGATTTTTTTCATTACAGAAATGTGAATACCTTCTAATTCTTCAGGAGTGAATTCTGCTATTTCCTTTGATGTTGGTTCCTGATGTGTATTTAGGTTATCCGAGTTTTGCATGATCTGTGCACATAACCTCATGGTCAAATACTAAGGTTCCCAATGAAAACTAGGGAGTTGGAATTGTTTATCAATCAAAAAATTTGAAGAACAAAGTAGGTTCCTAATATCACTATATGAGAGATAACTTTTAACATCAGTAAGTTTATTTATTACTAGTCTTTTATTTTATTGGAAACTACGGAAAAATATTGACTTGTTTCCACTTTTTTTTCTGCATTTGCTGCTGTCATTTATAGTTGATAACAGACATGTAAGGTGCTTGCCTCCAATTGTTTACTATTAAAGAATATTCTACAGCAGGCTAAACAGATGAAAATGACCATTGTATTTCATTTTAGTTTGAAGGATTTTTAGCTGTCACTTCTGTTATTTCAATCTGGGTGCAATTATAAAGACTGAAAGTCATGCTATATGAGCTGTTACTTCATTGGCTATATGCATTGCATTTCTTGTTCTTATCGTCTTAAATGTTAAGCTAGTAACTATTGTTGATGAGGTGATTTTCTGTTTGCAGTTATAACTAGTTACCAATTCGGATAAAAAAGGAAGGAAACAGAAGGCAATGAAAAAGAGCACTTGCCTTAGGATGACTAGTAAAAAAGAGATGAGTTCCCAGAATCCCTCAGCAAAAAAGATTAGAGATGTTTCCTCGTCAAGTCAGGAACCTATTGTTCCACGTCTCATTGGTGAGCTAGAGACAATGATATTGGCTAGATTTCCTATGACAGAACACTGGAAGTTGGGCTGTCTAAACAAGCAATTTCAGGCACAACTCAAGAGTGGTGAAATCTATGAAATTAGGAGAGAGATAGGGTTCAAAGAACCATGTGTCTTTATGTTAGAAAGTGAACAAGGAAATTGGAGTGCACTTGATCGCCATTTCAAGTCCTGCAGGAAGCTCCCTCTTATTCCAACTATTATTCCATCGGTTTACAGTTTTAGCTGTGGAAACAATGGGTCATTTTCTGCAGGGACCCATCTGTTTGTTCAAGGATGGGAGGCTGGCGAATATTCTGTTTGGAGGTATGACTTAGCAACAAATAAATGGTCCAAGGCTCCTCCCATGAATAGCCCAAGGTGCCTTTTTGCATCAGCCTCCCATGATATCTTTGCATTTGTTGCAGGTGGACTTGAAACAAAAACTTATAGTGAAGTTTTGAGCTCTGCTGAGAAATACAATGCAAAAAGCCAGTCTTGGAAGACCCTCCCAAGAATGATACGAGAGAGGAAGTTTTGCTCAGGTTGTTACATGGATAACAAGTTCTATGTAATTGGAGGACAAGATGAGCAAAAAAATAATCTCACTTGTGGGGAATTTTTTGATGAAGAGACAAATAGTTGGACCTTGGTTCCTAACATGTTGAAAGATATTATTCCACTTTCAACTTCGAGATCCCCACCTCCTTTTGCTGTTGTCAATAATAAGCTTTACACACTTGATGCTTCCTCAAACGAGGTAAAGCTATATATGAAGGGAACAAATTCATGGAAGAAGTTAGGACCAGTCCCAATAAAAGCTAACACTCAAGAAGGTCCCTGGAGTGGAGATTTAGGCACGGCATTCAAATCCTTGGGCAATGAGCTACTTCTCATTGGTGCTAACTCTGCTTCCTATTCACATACCTTGATGTCTGTATACACTTGCTGCCCTGATCCAGATGTTGAGAACTTGCAGTGGAGGGAAATTGTATGTAGAAACACCGACCATCACTCTTTTGACATTTGTGCAGTGATGTTCGCCTGAACCTTGAAGAAGTGGAGGCAGACAATATGGAGTTGTCTTTTTTTCACTTAGCTTATGTTGTTTTCCTTTGTTTCTTGTAAGCACAGAAACTTCCATGTTCATATTTCACAATCTGGATGATGTTCGGTGATGCTTTTATTTTCTTTCTTCCAGTGTTCATGCTATTGACTCTCCATCTTGAGGGGGAATATTAGAGATATAAATATTTTATTTTATTTTTAATTGTGATATTCTAGATCATTCTCTTTTTTAGTTATGCTCTTCTATATAAGAGCCCCTTATTGTACAAATTAATTACCCAATCAATAAAATCAATATTTTTTGTTTTCTCTCTTTTACTTTCTAATAAGTTGCTTGCATCCAATTGTTTACTGTTCAAAAATATTCTATAGCAGGCTAAACAGATGAAAATGAGACTAGTATTTCATTTTAGTTTGCTAGATTTCTAACTGTCACTTTTGTTAATTCAATGTGGGTAACGACGAGTTACCAAAAAATAAATAAAATATAAGGAAACGGTGAATGCTTAAAAATTGTAAGTTAGGGTATAATATTTATAATATTAAGTTTACATGTATATATATATATATATATATATATATATAGGGAAATATTACTCTCATTTTACATAAGATAGCTTCTCTGATGCTCTCTCACTTCGATTTTCGCACCCCACATTTTTCTTTCTTTCTTGTAATTAGGGGTGTGCAAAAAAACTGGTTCACTTGCTCTGCCCTTGACCCGACCCATAAATACCTATATTTTTTGAAAGGTTTAAATACTGACCCACTTTTATTTGGGTCAGTTTTAGACCTGACTCGTTTTAATATTGACCCACTGACCCAAAACATGACCCATACCCATTATGTGAAAAAAAAATCACAATTACATTAAAAGAAAAGTTTTAACGTAAAACAATTACGTAAAAAATTTTTAAGGAAAATATTTTCATAAAAATTTTCGCAACATTTTTTGACGAAAAATATTTTCATCAAAATTTGTGACTAAAAACATATTGGTAAAAAAATTTGACGGAATATTTTTTTCGTCAAATTTTTTTACGGAATCTAAATTTCGTCAAAATATTTCACAAAAAAATATATTCATAAAAACTTTCGACGAAACACATTTTCATCGAAATTCTTTGACGGAAAAAAATTTCATCAAAATTCTTTACAGATTTCAAATTTCGGCGAAAGTTTTCGACGGAAACATTTTCGTTAAACTTTTTCACAAAAAAAAAATTCGTCGAAATTTTTAGCGAAACACATTTCTATCAAAAATTTTCGACTAAATATTTTCGTCAAGTTTTTTGATAAAGAATATATCCATCAAAATTTTCAACGAAACACATTTCTGTAAAAAAAATTCGTAAAATTTTTTGACAAAAATATTTCGATAAGAAATTTTGACAGAAAAAATATTTTGTCTAAATTCTTTAGAGAATCTAAATTTCGTCGAAATTTTTAGCAAAACACATTCTGTCAAATTTTTTGACAAAATTCTTTTTTCGTTTAAAAAATTTGATGGAAGAAATCATTTTCGTCAAAACCGTTGACAGAAACTAAATTTCAATAGAAAATTTTTTTTTGTAAGAATTTCGACGAAAAAATAATTTTGTGACGAAATTTTCGTCTTTTGCAACGTAAAAATTTCGACAAAATTTTGTGAGAAAACCAAGTCAAAAACGGGTCAGGTCAGATTTGACCCAGTTCAGAAACCAAGTCAGACCCACTTCAGAAACCAAGTCAGACCCACTTCAGAAACCAAGTCAGGTCAGATCCAAACTGGTTCTGAACTAGTTCAACAAAATCCAATCCAAGTCAGACCTGACTTGGATCAAATTAAAGCGGGTCGGGTTAAAATACCTGACCTATAAAAACCAAGTTGGGTCGAGTCGGACAAAAACCTGACCCGACCTGACCTATGCACAACCCTACTTGTAATTGTGGGACCCACCTATTTTCTCTTTACAACATAAGATAACTATCTTATGTGAAAGCAGACTAATAAAGCCTATATATATATATATATATATATATATATATATATATATATATATGGGTTTTATAAGAGTTATGTTGTAGGAAAAGTGATTGTGTTATGTTATAGAGATTCGTTTTGCGTGCCGAAGTTTTTTTTTTTTTGCTGCGGGCCCCACAAAATGTTGTGTGTGTAGGAAACTTTTTGTGGTCATGTTAAATGATAGATGATAAACCCTATATATATATATATATATATATATATATATATATATATATATATAAAAGAAAGATATTAATGTTTTAAAAGTAATCATTAATATGTGTAGAGACCATGTCATACTATTATTTATATTTTTTTGAAAAAGATTACAAGGAAAAGAAAGACAAGAAAAACAAAAAACTACTTGCAAAGCCTCGGCCAAGCTACTCCAATGGAGTCCCTGCTAAGCCTTTCACAACATCCTAAAGAAGGTGAGGCAAACTCCTGTAAGGACCAATCAAAATTGTAAGCAAAAGAAGCCATCCAATCTGTAACTCCATTTCCTTCGCTATGAATATGGGAGATCATTATCCTCCAATCCGAAGCCATCATCTTTTTTATACGCTTGACCAAAATAAACGCTGGATGACTTTGACTACACTCCTCTTTGATGAGTTGTTGAGCTACTAGAGAATTTCCTTCAAGCCAAACAAAGCGAAAACCCATCTTCCAAGCAATCTCAAGTCCGAGAAGACAACCCCACAGCTCAGCCATAATAATGGTACCACTGCCAAGATTCTTGCAGAAACCCATCAGCCACTTACCAGATGAATCCCGAATTACACCTCCACAAGCAGAGTCCACTCCATGGTTAATACAAGAACCATCCACATTTAGTTTAACCCAGGGATCTAAAGGAAAAATCCATGATACAAGTTTCTCCTTTCTCGGACTAGACTCAAGAGTAACTTCTTCCAATATGGTTGATGTTGAAATAGCCCCTTCCCCGTATCTCAAAGCGGCTCTATAAGTGGTATAAGCATTGTCCGTCATCCCTTGAAAGATTAACTATTCCTAGCTTTCCAAATGAACCAGGATATAATCCCAAAGAACAACGGCCATTGAGACAAGTTACACCAAGATCGATCATCAGAAATATTTGCTAATATCCAATGATGCAGATCTAAGGATGTAAAGACAGGCCACGCTTCTTGCTTCACAACTAACTTCCACACTTGCCGCGCTCCATCACAATCTCTGATAGCATGAAGAGTGGATTCAGGGAAACGATGACATACCTGACACAAATCAGTACTCGCCATATGCCGATTACACCTTCTTTCATTAGTTAATAGTTTTTCTCCTAGCATCAGCCACAAGAACGTTCGAACCTGTTCAGGACCCTTCCAATCCTAAACACGGTTCCAAGGGAGGGAGATAGTACCATGCACATTTCTGGAGATCGCTGAAAATGCAGACTTCAACGTGAAAGCCCCATCAGACGTCCTAGACCAAATGATCCTATCCTGGCCGCCATCATCCATAGGTGGAGGGATATTATTTAAATGCGCCAAGATGTGAATAGGAACAAGATTTTGCAAAGCCTCCCAACACCAGGTTCCTGTCGGAGATACATAACTGGAAACCATAGCTTGATCTTCATGTTGAGAAATGCTTGTGAGAGCATAGGAGGAAAGAGGTCCGCAACCTGAAACCCAGGAGTTTATCCAGAATCTAGTTGACTTCCCATCTCCAATCAAAATTCTAGAGTGTTGTAAAATATTAGGCCAACATGAAACAATAGCTCTCCAAAGGCTAGAGCTGTTGTTGGATGCAACAACCACTGGAATCATATCATGAGTCACCCAGTATTTGCTTCTAAGAACCTTAACCCATAACGCATCTGGGTTTGAAAGAATACCAAAGCCAACTTTCAAAATTAAGGAGACCAATTAATTAAAATAATTGGCAGAAATTGGAGAAATCAATCAATTGGATTGATTGGATAAAATTAACCAATAAAATTGGGATTTGATGAGGGCGCTGATTTGACCTAGTCTTAGGTTAGTGAGGCGTCACGTATATATAGCTTTTTTTCTTCCTTAGTTTCGTAACTTTTCTTTTCTAATTTTCTTCACTGAAACCCTAGCCAACACACATATCAATATGACGACTATCGGTCCCTCTCTTGGAATAACCAAAGGCACCATCCACTCTCTGTTCTTCTTCTGAGTCTAGCAACCTCCGTTGAAGGACATTGGGCATTCAAAGAAGCGTTCTTCTCTTACAAGACAACAAGGTGGTGTGGATTTCCATCGGAAGCCTCGTGTTCTTCAAGTCTGAGGAATTGATCAAGAACACATCTGATCAGCAATAGTTATCCGAATAAAGGTATAAACTTTAAACCCCTAACATATCTATTGCATGATTCATGGGTTGAACATGCTTGAGGATAGGCAAAGGTTGCTTCTTCCGCACAAATTTTTTAATTTTTCCCTCCTTTATGTTCATGGCCTACAAAATGCTACTTTCAATTGGTATAAGAGCATGGTTGCTTTACTATCGACAAGTTAGGGTACTTTTGTTCAGTTAAAAATGCAATTTTTACATTTTGGTTCATTAAAGATTTGATCTTTGATGTTTTAATTAGTTAAAAATGTGACCTTTATGTTTTGGTTGGTTACAAATTTGATTTTTGACGTTTTAATCGGTTAAAAATGTTAACTTCTCATTTTGTTGGTTAAAGATATGATCTTTGACATTTTGATCGAATAAAGATTTGATCTTTATTTTTTATTCGGTAAAAATATGATCTTTGTAGAAAATTTTGAATTTTTGGATATGTTAAATGTTAATATGTCCATCTAAAAACATAGAACATATTTTATATATTTTACGCTTGTTTGGTTACTAACTTTCCAGGTGCAAATAAAGGAAGGGGATGCAATGATGCCCAAAATTAAAATTTAATCGTTATAATTTAATTTTGGTAAATAAGGCTTGTATGCCTTGTCTTTCTTTTACTCTTGTGTAAA